GACAACAAAAATGCTGAAAAGAAGTCACGTGGACACTCGACAATAATAGGGGCAAACATTGTTGAGGAGGCACCACAAAATAAGAAGAGGAAGAAAGCTTCTGGACCAAAGAATTACCCAAGCAAGAAGAAGTTCAAGGGTAATTGCCGCAACTGTGGAAAAACTGGGCATAAGGCAGTGGATTGTCGTGCGCCAAAGAATGATAAGAAGAAAAAGAATCAAGCCAACATGGTTGAAGATGAAATGGAAGACTTGTGTGCCATGTTGTCTGAATGCAACTTGGTAGGAAATCCGAAAGAATGGTGGATAGATTCTGGAGCCACCCGCCATGTTTGTGCTAACAAGGAGTTATTTTCTTCTTATGCCCCCGCAGGTCCCGACGAGACAATCTTCATGGGAAATTCATCTACGGCCAAAGTTGAAGGAGTTGGCAAGATTGCGTTGAAGATGATGTCGGGAAAAATAGTGAGTCTAAACCAAGTCCTCCATGTTCCAGAAATTCGCAAGAATCTTGTGTCGACTTCACTTCTTGTCAAGAATGGATTCAAATGTATTTTTGTTTCTAATAGTGTTGTACTAAGTAAGAACGATTTGTATGTAGGAAAAGGTTACCTAAATGAGGGCCTTTTTAAGCTAAATGTAATAGCAGTTCCTATCAATAAAGTGAATGCTTCTTCTTACTTGCTTGAGTCAAACACTTTATGGCATTCGCGTTTAGGTCACGTAAACTTCAAAACATTGCGAAAGATGATAAATCTAGAAGTATTGCCAAAATTTGATTGCATTAATTCCAAATGTCAAATATGTGTGGAATCAAAGTATGCTAAGCATCCTTATAAGTCCGTTGAAAGGAATTCAAGTCCTTTAGACTTAATTCACACAGATATTTGCGACATGAAGTCAACAACATCTCGCGGTGGGAAAAAGTATTTTATTACTTTTATTGACGATAGCACGAGATACTGCTATGTTTATTTACTTAATAGTAAAGATGAGGCAATTGATGCTTTCAAGCAATACAAGATTGAAGTTGAAACACAACTAAACAAAAAGATCAAAATGATAAGAAGTGATAGGGGTGGCGAATATGAATCTCCTTTTGAAGAATTATGTTTGGAAAATGGCATTATTCACCAAACAACTGCCCCTTACTCTCCACAATCTAGTGGAATTGCGGAGAGGAAGAATCGAACGTTGAAGGAGATGATGAATGTATTGCTAAGAAGTTCTGGCTTACCACAGAACTTGTGGAGGGAAGCTATACTTACAGCTAACCGAATAATCAACCGTGTACCTCATAGTAAAACACAATCCATTCC